GGTTGAAAGGCTGAGGACTTACACTTTTCTCAAAAAAATTAATCGATGTTATGATAATAAAACAAAACTCTTGCGATCTCAGCAAAAGTAAGATTTTTATTACCAAATAAGAAACAATTATTACCATTCTGCAAGGAACAAATAAAATAAAATAGGTCATACAGTTTTCAGACACACAGACTGCATGACAATCCAAGAATAAATATTTGAACTTTTAAAGCAAATTGCATACAATAAGAGCTATTGTGTAAAAAAAAATTTAAAAACAAGTTGTTACAAATGTGACTATTATATGATTCCAGCAACTGAAAAATTCTTTTGGAATTTTAAAGACTAATGAAGATTATTAAATAATAACAGAAAAGTTTTCTGTGTCTCTTTTGTCTCATTTTTGAAGCAGAATATAAATTAAAATACACATCTCACTTTTTCTGATCCTGCTTTTCTCTGAATCTTTCTTATTAAAATAGATGAATCGTGTTAAATTACGTTACCTTAAGTTAGTAAATGTGTTTTCGCACTTAGGAGGAAAAAAAGACCGAATTTTAGATTGATAATAAATGTAATAATTTTCATAGTATTTTTTCCATATCTTATTTAGAAGCCCAAAAATTGAATAAAAAAATTATAAAATATATAGACCAATTGTTGAGTTATAGAATCTAGAAGTTGTTATAAAATTATGAATAAAAAGTTACAAGATGGATATGTTATGAAATTAATGAAGCATAGAATGAAAGGATAAATATATATAGCAAAATATATGATAAAATTAATTAGGAAACAATTAAAACGAAGGTGAGTAATTTCAGATATATACAAATAATAGTGATAGAAGCAAGAAAAATGGAAAATATCGGAATTTTCCCTGACGAATTTAAGAAACATTAAAAAAAAGTTAAAGCAGCCACAACTTTAAGTTTCAATAAATATGATTTGATGTTATAAAAAATAAATTAACTATACGAAAATAGTAGTGAATATGTCATACATTTGTTTCTTTATGTCATGGCTTCAATAAAAATATTTTTTCTCCTTGTTTTCCTAATAGCACGCATTTTACAGAAAATATTTGAACAAATTTAATGAAAATAGAAAATACTGTCAATCAAAAGTTATTCAGTATAAAATATATGCAATTTTTTTAAGATATTGTAAGCATTTTGAAGAATACATATTTTTTCCAAAATAGAAATAATTGATAAAACCTGGTAAAAATGAAGGAAATGAAAATAATTATTTTTCAAACTGAGTAAAATTTTTTTTAATACTTTTATCTTTAAAAATATGTACACTTAATAATGTGATGATTTATATAGGGAATTATTTTTTTAAACTTTGTTTATTAATTAAGATATTCCAAAGCAATTGATTATTCTGAATAATTGACATTTTATTACTCCAGATTTTTATTTAATTTACAAGAATAGTTTCTATTTGAAATTTTTTTAAATCGAAATATGTATGTAATTAACTGAAATAATTGTGTGTATGTAAATTTTTCTTTCTCTTTCTTTAAAGAAGGACGAAGTATTTTGTTCTCGTTATTTGAATTTTTCTAGTCTTAAACGAGGATAAAATTTTAACTTAATTCAACAAGCAACTTTTAAAAATATCCATGAGCGCGAAGATTCATTTATGACTTTTGCGAGTGCTGTATTGAGGCGAGCGTAGGGTTGCCTCTGAGTGAGGGTTACTAGATAAGGCGGTGAAACAGTTGACAAATAAAACCGCGGCGAGTGGAG